TTTTTTTTTTTTTTTTTTTTTTTTTCACTTTCCTCGACCACTTGTGTCATGATTTCATGTGAGGACTCTTGTACACCTCCAGATCTCGCCTTGCTATGCTGAAATATTTGGTGCCTTCACACATGAGGCAATGCTTTTCTTTCTTTTCTTTTTTCCCGTTCATGGTTCACCTTTCAACTCCTGTTGTATTTCTACTACTCATAATGACCTTTCCATAGTATAGGTATCGAAATTGAAAAGAAACTCTTAAGTATGGTTTTGCAAAGGATGAATAATCGCTAGTTTTTATAATAGTATACCATATTTCCACAACAATTATCGTAATATATACAGGTTTGTGGATTAGATAGAAGCACAGTTTTAGAATTTCACCTTGAAGACCAAAACCTGGTTGTCAATGTTATATCCAGATTCATCGGCGTATTTGAACTTGCCAAAGTTCATGTGTCCTGTCGGACATCAGTTAGTCAATCGTGATCTACACACTTTCTGTGACTTGTAATGGGGAGGCACAACTTACCATCCTGGGTCATAAAGTCATTATCGCTGAAACTGAACAGGAAGTATTCCCTGTCTTGGCCGGATTGAGACTTGGTCGGGTTTGCTGGTACCAGGGCTAAGCTCTCCCATTTCTCGTTGAGCAAATACTGGTCCGAGTCACCGCCATTGTGAAGGCCAAATTTAGCCAGCTCGGAGTTGACATTGTAGTTCAGGAACGAGCAGTATTCAGCGGGGGTAATTTCGGATTTCAAGACACCCTTTGCGGAAGCAATGGATCTATCAGCTGCATCGTATTTCTCGCCCTTGATGTCGGTAGTGGAGTTTGAAATGGAAACGATATCTGCATGGCGATAGACAGATCTTGTCTCGTCTTGACCACGTCCAAAGCCGGAGTCACGGGCGAGAACTAGGAAATCTCCGGTTGGGAGCTGGTGCATCTCTGATTGAGATGCCACAACGTAGGCCTTGTCTTTATCCTCTTTCGTGTAGTCGAAGTACTTGGGAAGCAGCACGGCATACTCGTGCTTGTATTTGGGCGTGTCGGAAGAGATGTCGTACTCGAGGAGACGAACAGGTTGACGGTATCTCTTCTTAGGCCCGCCTTCTTGATCCAACGAGGATTGTAACATGGTATACAATTTATTGCCATCGGCAGAGATAGTAATGGCTTCCAACCCTTGGTTGTTGTTGCGACCACTCTCGGTATCTTCTGGAATTGGCACATCACTGGAATCGTAGATAGGAGCGGAGGCAGCGCTGAAGCTGATACTGCCATTACGTCGCGGAAGGAATGCTTGTGGAGGCTGTATCGCCAGCACCATTTGGCCATCCTTGTTAAATTTGTACACGTACGGGCCGTATTCGTCGGAGACCCAGAAAGAACCGTCTTTGCCGAGAGCTAGACCCTCACTGTCGACAGAGATCCTTTTACCACCATCTCCAGCACCTCCGAAGCCATTGCCAGTATAGGTGGCTACCGGCAACGGAGGAAATCCAGGGTAGGAGGCGTAACCGGTACTATCCGCATCAAGGCCCGTTGTGGGCTCGCCGTCTGGACCGGTAAGAAGAATTGTATTAAGATATTTCAGCTGCAGATTGGGCTTGGACGGATTCTCTGCCGACGCATTGGGAGCCAGCTTGAGGGAAATAGCGAATTTGTGAATGCGAGATTGGAAGTTAAGAGTTCCATTGGTGTTCCTAAATGCATGAATCAGTTAAAAGGTATCAGCCATCAAGGGACTCCTCTATTACCAGCCACGATCAGGCAAGCCATAGACAATGCCCGAGTAGGAATCAACACCCGTCTGTCGCCAGGATGATTGGTCTATCGCGACCGAGCTCCCATATCCCCCAAGAGTGTCGCCATATCGATCAGTTGCGTTGGATGGCACGAATCCGTATCCTGCTAGTCCTGTGTATTTGTAAGTCGTCCCTCCACAGGTAGTTTGATTGACGACATTGGAATTGGGATGAGGAATGGAAACAGCGGTGGCTGCTCCCGCCAAAGAGAGAGCCGTCACCAAGACTTGAGGCCTCATTGGGAGATAGGACTTGTGATGGAATTGAGGTGATTATATGAGAATGAGAAAGTACCTTTGGAGACACTTCGAGGGGTCGAACGGCCCTTTTCAACGATACAAGGTAGTATCTGCTGCTCTCGCCGATCAGGGACATCGTACGGAGTAGCATCGCCCTTCTCCTCATCGGAGTATTATTGTATTATTGTCACATGGGGGCCGTGGGGTGGTGAGATGGATTGACGAGTTGCGAGAGAAAGTGGGATGGTTGGAGAGGGAAAGTTGGTGGAGACGAAGAGATCCCACCAGCAGAAATAGGAACGTGGCGGCGGTTATTGTCGCCATTGGCTGCTGGAGAGATTACCATCGTGATCCTTTGTTATCCCACGGCGATAGCGTGCATAAGATGGTACATCGGCTGCATCTACCTAGTCTAGTTTAATGCTCCCGATATTGACTAATTCTCCGGATGCCGCAGGAGGAGATCGGAGAGGTGCGAAACCGACATAATTTCATAAAGACAATAGGAAGTGAATCATTTACTAGCTTCGATATCCATCATATGGCTTTACTATAACTACACTCTCATATTTTACGCGGGCACAAATATCGACTAGGTTTTTACCCTTCATTCCAGGTCGATGGCACTTTCGGATAATTCTTCGCATCCAGCCCCAGATCTTGATACACGGTATCGTCACCTAATAAGGTTAGCGATGAAAAAAGTGAGACATGATTCTAAACTGACCTTGTAACGCTTCGATACGTTCTTCATTCTCATGCTCCATCTTTTCGAGCTCTTCGCCTGGCTGCTCTTCGTGAGGCTGCTTGCCACCAGCCTCTGCGGTTGCAGCCTTTCCCAGGCCATCGCCTGCTTCTCCAATCATCAGAAATTGTGCATTGGGATAATCGATGAATTCAGGCTCCAGGGGGACCCATCGCAAGTCTTGGAATTTCTCGCGGATGCTGTCATCGAATTGTCAGCGGTGTCTTCTATGACAGACTATTGAAATAACTCACTGTTCGGGATACTCTGGATCCTTAGGAAGCTTTGCGTAAGACGGGCCAGGATACTTAGGGTTCTTCGACTGCACAATCCAGCTACCACGATGGCGAAGACCGAAACTATCCTGAACATCGCCCAGTTTTTCGGGGATCGTCAGGATATAGGCAAGATGAGATGCCCGCTGAGTCGACGTGATGGCGTATACCCCTTCTGCATATGGTTTTGCTTCTTGGGTCGTACGTTCACCCCGAGTCGAAGTCACATACTGCCCCCCAGCAAGGAACTTTTCCTGCAGGTCCTTCATGGACTGTCCACTCTTTTCCACAAATCCCATATCTCTTTCTCTTCCAGATGTTGGAAACTTCTTTTTTGGAAGAATCATCAAGCGACAATTTGCACCGGGTTCAACCGAGCCCTGTTCTCCGTCAAGTACTGCTCCTAGAGGCGTCGGGCGTAAGACAAAAAAGCTCCGAGCAACATCGCTCACGTCGTGTGGATCTGAAACGTTGACTCGGGGTCGGTAAAAGAAATAGATGATACCCTTTTCTAGAATATTTGACGGCACAATATCTTCTCTTTCTTGGGACTTTCTAACTCCAGACTCCACTCCAGCCACCGGCTCTGGGGTCTTCGTTACAGGCTTCGTTTCGGCTTCTGTGATATGTTAGAGTCCGCGGGTACCAGCTTCGGCCTTGTGATCTCACCCTCAGCAGGCTCAGCCGTCTCCTCCTGTTTTACATCCTCTTTCTTCGGTATCTCTTCTAATCCTGGCTCCGTAACCCCTTCCCGACTCCATTCCTCCTCTGCCGAGGCATTTTGATCCTCCTTCTTGCCCCGTTTAGGTTCCGGGCCCTTTACTGTCGAGACTTTGCGTTTGGCACCAGCCGCACCCTTTTTTGAATCTGCGCTGCTTGCAATGGCCTCCTTTGCTTTGGTGGCCGCCTGGCGCGATGATGTTCTAGTGGCTGCCATATCAGCGATGATTTCTTGCGCGTGGAAAATCAGTTGAACTGAAAAGCACAAAGTCGATGCCACCAAATTGGTTATTCAGGACATCTGCCTCACTCTTGAGGAGGGGTACTTGTTCTGAGGAAATGGTCTTCAGATCCGGAAGCTATGAGGACTGCCTGACGTCATGGGCCCTCATCAATATTCCGGTATATATATCACGTGAGTTTAGCCTGTTGGGTCTAGCCCGGACTATTTTGAGGCTCTTGGCGTCGCCAAATATATAGAAAAGGCCATACACATACATGCATGACGTATTCAATCGATATCCATCGCATCTGCAGCGGGAGTTCCTCCAACAGCACCAGTGCTGTTGGATTCTGGCGACTGAGAGCCTGAGCTGGAGCTCACAGATGATCCAGTGCCGCTAGAAAGGTGAGAAGAGGTTCCATCTTCATTCGGTCGCTCTCCTCGTCGGCGTGGTCTTTTGGGACTTAGGCTAGGTTCCTTGTACTGGATATCACCGAGTTTGGATGCATTTTCCGGCTTCTGGGACTGGGCATATGCGGACGCTCCTATATCAACCGTCGGTGGTTTTCTTTTCTTTCCTCGTTTCTGTCCTCGTTGACGTAATTGGCGGTCGGTGTTGTCCGATTCACATTGAAGATCTCCCATCGATTCCACCAGATCACTTTGCCATTGTCCAGAGTTGCGAGGGTGATATGAAGTCGTAGAGGTCTCAGGCTTGGAAGTAGAATGATCATCGGGTTCCTCAATGGCATATGGCTTGACTACCTCCACATCTCCTTCGTAGCCTGAGTCTTGAGATGCTGTCTGTTCGCGATGGGCTTGGGGGCCGTCCACATTACCAGTAGCAGCATTATGAGCAGATTGGGATTGTTCGGTGCTGTTTAAATTCTCCATGTTGTTGGATGTTGGAATGAATGAGACAAGATGGGAAGACGTCTGATTTTCAATTTCCCCGTCATTTATCTTTATCAGCGGATGCTTTTAGAAAAACAATATATTATGACAGGTATTAAGAAATTGATAAAATGCACGATAAGCAAATATGCTCAATAAGACGTTGTATTAAATAAATGCCATAAGATATCCTCAATTGTAGACGGAGGCCAAAGCCGGGGCTTTAAAACAGGACCAATCTACATCACGCAGGCCGATCCTTCGTGCCGCACGCAAAGCACTCTGATGAAGTCGGAAGAAACAGCTAGAAACGCTCGCGAGAACTGATGCAATATCTCTCGTGGATTTATCCTGCGGATGGAGCGATTCCCGGCCCTTCGTGGTGGTTCCCCTGGCAGCTTCTCACCGCCGGGCCCATCATTGGCCCGCGGGACTCGCTTATTGGCTCTACAATTGTGTCCACGTTACCGCCATCGTCAAGAGGCCAGAGTTGGCCCAGACAGTCAGTACGTAGTCCAGAGAGTCCACGCTGCTCCGAGACTCGACCGCAACCCGCTCCATCTGCCATTCTTCCTCTCCTTGAAGTGGATGTGGTGGTCGCTTTTGTGATCTTTTATTTTATAGTGTGCGGAGCTTGCTACTCTATGGTGCGGCTCCGGCCAACCCTCTTTCAAGATGCAGTCCTCCCCAAACATGCTCACCAAGGTACGTACCATTGCTTGATGCTCCCTCCTTTGGGGTCCTCCCTCTATGGCTGTCTGGTTATGGACACATCTAACACTCTTGCGATGAATAGTTTGAATCCAAATCGTCCCGCGCCAAGGGAATTGCTTTCCATCCCAAACGGTCAGTTCGATATTAGTTGGCCTTAACGCGTCGCAATCGAGAGCGCTGACATTCAACCACCTAGGCCATGGATCCTCGTATCACTTCACTCCTCGACAATCCAGCTATGGGACTATCGCATGGGAACTCTGATTGATCGCTTCGAAGAACACGACGGTCCCGTTCGAGGCATTGACTTCCACCCAACCCAACCCCTCTTCGTGTCCGGAGGAGATGACTACAAGATTAAGGTCTGGAGTTACCAGACCCGACGATGCCTCTTCACATTGAACGGCCACTTGGACTACGTGCGAACTGTCTTCTTCCACCATGAGCTCCCGTGGATCCTGTCTGCGTCCGATGACCAGACTATCAGAATATGGAACTGGCAAAACAGGTCTTTGAGTAAGTCGGGTCCAGCCCGCTTGCCTTGAGAGGTACTGACATTTAACTCTACCTTAGTCTGTACCATGACCGGTCACAACCACTATGTTATGAGCGCAAAGTTCCACCCCACCGAGGATTTGATCGCCTCGGCCTCGCTGGACCAGTCCGTTCGCATCTGGGACATTTCGGGATTGCGCAAGAAGCACTCGGCCCCAACCTCAATGAGCTTTGAAGATCAGATGGCTCGGGCCAACCCGAACCAGGCTGATATGTTCGGAAACACTGATGCGGTTGTGAAGTTTGTCTTGGAAGGTCATGATCGGGGTGTCAACTGGGTGGCCTTCCACCCCACATTGCCCCTGATTGTCTCCGCAGGTGATGACCGACTGGTCAAGTTGTGGAGAATGAGTGGTAAGTCCTGGTCATCATCTGTGCTCAAATGGTTCATGTCACTAATGTGCTATCCTTCGAATAGACACCAAGGCATGGGAAGTCGACACATGCCGTGGCCATTTCCAGAATGCATCTGCCTGTCTTTTCCACCCCCACCAGGACCTCATCCTCTCCGTCGGCGAAGACAAGACAATTCGTGTGTGGGATTTGAACAAGAGAACTTCAGTACAGTCATTCAAACGTGACTTGGACCGATTCTGGGTCATCGCTGCCCACCCGGAAATCAACCTGTTCGCTGCTGGTCACGACACTGGTGTTATGGTCTTCAAGTTGGAGAGAGAAAGACCCGCGTCCGCTGTGTATCAGAACCAACTCTTCTACATCACCAAGGAGAAGCACGTCCGCTCGTACGATTTCGCGAAGAATGTCGAATCCCCTCCCATGCTCTCGTTGCGCAAGCTGGGATCCGCCTGGGTGCCACCACGAACCGTCTCATACAACCCCGCTGAGCGGGCAATCCTTGTCACTTCGCCTACCGACAATGGAACTTATGAGTTGATTCACCTTCCCAGAGACGCCACGGGGGCTGTTGAACCGACCGATGTCAAGCGTGGTCAAGGCTCATCTGCTGTCTTTGTCGCTCGTAACCGTTTCGCCGTCTTCAACTACTCGAACCAGCAAGTGGACATCAAGGACCTGAGCAACTCGACAACGAAGACCATCAAGCCGCCAGCTGGAACTACTGACATCTACTTCGGTGGTACAGGCTGCTTGCTCTTCATCACCCCCACCTCGGTTGTTCTTTTCGACATTCAGCAAAAGAAGCAACTGGCTGAGCTCGCTGTCAGCGGCGTCAAGTACGTTGTCTGGTCTAACGATGGCCTCTATGCTGCTCTCCTTAGCAAGCACAACGTGACCATTGTCACCAAGACCCTCGAGCAAGTAAGCAGCCTGCACGAGACCATTCGCATCAAGAGCGCAGCTTGGGATGACTCTGGCGTGCTCCTTTATTCCACCTTGAACCATGTCAAGTATTCCCTTCTGAACGGTGACAATGGTATCATTCGCACCCTTGAACACACCGTTTACCTTGTCAAGGTTAAGGGAAGAAGCGTCTACTGCCTTGACCGCAACGCCAAGCCCAAGATCTTCGAGATTGATCCCACTGAGTACCGATTCAAGCTTTCGTTGGTCAAGAGAAACTACGACGAGATGCTTCAGATCATTAAGACCTCCAGCTTGGTTGGACAGAGTATCATTTCTTACCTGCAAAAGAAGGGCTACCCTGAGATTGCATTGCAGTTCGTACAGGATCCTCAGACCCGTTTCGAGCTCGCCTTGGAGTGCGGTAACCTTGAAGTTGCCATTGAGATGGCAAGAGAGCTTGACCGACCCAACTTGTGGAGCAGACTTGGTGCTGAGGCCTTGGCTCACGGTAACCATCAAACAGTGGAAATGACATACCAGAAACAGAGGAATTTCGACAAGCTGTCCTTCCTATACCTGTCTACTGGTGATCAAGAGAAGCTGGCCAGGATGGCTAAGATTGCTGAGCACCGTGGAGATTTCACCTCTCGCTTCCAAAATGCTATCTACCGTGGTGATGTTGAGGACAGAATCCAGATGTTCAAGGAAGTGGATTTGTGTAAGTGTAATTCCATCTACCTCATATCAAAATGCTAATCAACTGTAGACCCGCTTGCCTATCTTACCGCCAAGACCAATGGCTTGACTGAAGAGGCAGAATCTATCCTGGAGGCTTGCGGTCTCACCGAAGACCAAATCACCCTTCCGACAACCGAGGAGCCCTTGCATGTGCCCCAGCCCATCGCCCCAACCTTCAAGTCGAACTGGCCCGTTAAGGCTGCTGGCCACTCGTCCTTCGAAAAGGCTTTGCTCGGAGAAGTTGGTGTGGCTGATGAGGATGCTGCCGCGAACGGGTTGGAGCCTGAGGAAGAGGAAGAGGAAGCCGTTACAGCCGGCGAGGCCCTCGAGGACGATGACGAGGATGTCGCTGGATGGGACATGGGCGAGGAAATCAACGTTGAGGAGGATGTAGACTTCGTCAACGTTGACAGTGCAGAGGCTGGTGCGAGCAGCTCCGAAGCTGACCTTTGGGCACGCAACTCCCCGTTGGCCGCTGACCATGTTGCCGCGGGGTCTTTCGATTCCGCCATGCAACTCCTTAACCGTCAAGTCGGTGCTGTGCAATTCGCCCCTCTGAAGAGCCGCTTCCTTGAAATCTACAAAGCTTCCAAGACCTACCTTCCAGCAACAAATGGTCTGCCTCCTTTAGTTAACTACGTTCGTCGCACTATTGAGGAGACAGATAGCCGAAAGGTCCTTCCTGTCATCCCCAGAGACTTGGAGACTGTTGCCAATGTCAACTTGCAAGAGGGCTATGCCGCTATGAGAGCGAACAAATTGGAGGATGGTGTCCAGATTTTCAAGGGAATTCTTCACACTCTCCTTGTCAACACTGTTTCGTCCGAAGCCGAAGTTGAGCAGGCAAAGAAAATCATTGCCACCGCCCGGGAATACATCCTCGCCATGTCTATTGAGTTGGAACGCCGCTCCGTGCCAACTGACACACCCGAGGGCCTGAAGAGAAGCCTTGAGCTCTCTGCATACTTCACCATTCCCAAGCTGGAGGTCACACACAGACAGCTTGCCTTGATGGCTGCGATGAAGTTCTCTTTCACCAACAAGAACTACTCATCGGCGCTCAGCTTCGCCAACCGCATGTTGGCCAATGGAGGCTCTCCCAAGCTGCTTGAACAGGTAAGCTTTTTCTGCCCTCCCCCTTACATTTGTAATATTTAGAAAACAATACTGACTACAAACCAGGCCAAGAAGATCAAGGCTCAGTGCGAGCGCAGCCCGCAAGACAAGATCGACATCGAATTCGACCAATTTGCCGAGTTCGACATCTGTGCGGCCTCGCACACTCCCATTTATGGCGGTTCTCCCAGCGTGTCAGATCCCTTCACCGGGGCCAAGTATCACGAACAGTACAAGGGCACCGTGTGCAGGGTATCTGAAGTGACCGAAATTGGAGCGCCGGCCAGCGGACTGCGGTTGTTTGTCCCCAGTCAATATTGAAGATGATGAAGTATGACAGTTTTCTTCTCGTGATTTTGTCCCTTCACGTGGCAGAATCAAGTTCATTTTCTTACTTAGGGGAGGTTGTGTTAGGGCGGTGCTATAGGGGAAAAACTCTTCCACTCTAGATGTATGGTTTTGTTGTATCTCAGATAATTACTCAGCGACTTTAGCTATATTAAACTATTTCAATTTTTTGTTCTTAAAGTATTATATTGAAATCATCGGTTATTAAAATTGAGAAGAGATTTGGTCTTGTGATGTCATGAGAAGAGATGATGATATATATATACAGTGAGTCCAATTCCACGCAGTTATCGAACTGCACAAAAACCAACTTCCCAAGCTCAATGTCTCTAAACAAAACCATGATAGTAATAGTACAAACCCAATGCCCTATTTTATGTTACACCATCTCTATAAGGGAAAAAAACCAATCTACTCCAATCAGCCCACTTAATCACAGCTTCCATCCTTCCACCCCGTCCTCCACCTCTGTTCCCAAAGCCGACAATCAAACTCCTTCTTCCCCAACTTCCGATTAACCTCATTATGCGCATCACACAGCCAATTCCCAAAATCCGACCTCCCACTCAACCGGGGCTTGTTGCGACCACTAGGCTCCGCCATCCACTTCTGGAAATCGTCCGCACATACCCAGCACGGGTAGATGCGCGAGAAGATCTTCATGAATGAGCTCATTTCAGTTTGTTGTTCCGCTGAGGCCTTTTCGGGGTATGAGGCTGCGAGGGAGTGGAGGAAGGTCCAGGTTGAGCGGCCGAGGGCGTCGACGTCTGGGGGGCAGTCGCTTCGGGGGGTTGAGGTGGTGGTTGGGACGGTGCTGGCTGCGGTGGCGATGGATTTGGGGATGGCGGTTGAGGGTTTGGGTTGTGTCTCTTGGGGTTGAGATTGGGATTGGGATTGGGATGCTTGTTTCGTCATGGTGCGCCATGATGCGGCGGAGGTGCAGAGGCGGCATCTGTAGAGGTATTTATCAGTAAAAGTTTGTATATGGAGACGTGGAGGGAGTGGTGTATTGATTGTAAACGTACGGTTTCCCATCCTTGTCGAGCACAACGCCCTTGGGTAAGTTGGCCTTGGAGGAGTCATCCTCTTTGGGGGTTGTAGAAGAGCTGGCTGTGGAGGCCTGATGGGGGGCGAACATGGACATTGTCGGTCTGGACTGCGCCGCAGTAGCATTTGAGTGAGTTTCCGCCATGGTGAATTCCGTATAGATTTGTTCTCAGGTTTTTGTTGGACGAGTAGAAGAAGTTTGCTTTATAATGACGACTGCGGAGTGCGGAGGGCAGCGGAGAAGCTTCTAGTCGGTGATAAGAGCAACGATAATCTCCAATTTACAGCAGTAGACGCTGGGAAATAAAACCAGGCCAAAGTAAAATACTATATAGCGCAAATACAATAGTATCCTCTTTCAAGGGACTGTTCAAAGCAATATAAGCGGCATCACCGGAGGATTGTTTTATTTTATGGCGCTTTGTCAGCGTCTCCTCGGCGAATGCGCAAATGCCGCCCAGATTTAGATGCGCGGACTTCCATCGAGTTGCTGAGGAACAACCTCGACGACATTACTGGGGAGTTTGACAGTTACCATTGTTATACATATCGGCTGGAAAAATACATTTCTTGGCCCATTTAAGTTATCTATTTGCTGCTCCATAGACGCGTGTTTGTTGATATTGTCGCGTCTTGAACGAGCCTGTGCAACTATTATTATTTACTTCTCACCACACCACAAACCCAACCTCTTTGCGACCTACTTCCTACGAATTTCATCAGATACAGTATGGCACCGCGATACGCCATGTCAAACTCCGAGTCTGAGCCCGATCAGCCAGCACCTGCTGCTCCTTCCGACGATGCGTTGGAAAAGGCTCTGCGCGACGCTGTGGCTGAGGTTTACAAGTCAGGAAAAATGGAAGAGCTGACCGTCAAACGGGTGCGACTGGCAGCGGAGAAAAGTCTGGGGCTCGATGGGGGCTTTTTCAAGGGCGACTCTAATTGGAAAGCAAAGAGTGAAGAAGTCATCAAGGATGAAGTGGTATGTTACGAGAGGCTGTATCCGCATGGCCGTCATATTTAATTGTCAAGCGATAGCTTTATGAACGTTCTCATCTGATGCGATTTTGATCAAATAGGAAACACAAGACCAAGCCCCCAAAGAACCAGCTAGCGATCACGAGAAGGAACCCTCCCCGCCTCCGTCAAAACCCGCCAAACCCACCAAGCGAACAAAAGCCGAAGCCCCCTTAAAATCCAATAAGCGTCGGAAGCCAAGTCCAGAAGAGGAAGCGGAAGTAGCTGCTCAAAGCGAGGAGAACGAGGTGAGTGAGGAAGAGGTCAAAAAACCAGCCAAGAAGCAGTCAAAGGCAGTAGCAAAGAAAACGGAGTCACCACCTTCCAAGGAGAATGTCTCAGATGACTCGGATGCTGCAGAAGGAGAGGATAAACCGACAAAGGCAGATGACGAAGATCTGAAGGACGGCTCAGAAAGTGAAATGTCGGTTGTGCTCGACGAGGAACCCCAGCCCAAACCCGCTCGCAAGCGGCAAAAGAGTGCAGATGCACCCGCAAAGAAAGGAGGGAAGAAGGCTCCCAAGGCCCCTGCTAAAGGCAAGGATGCCGATCTTGATCCTGACCAAGCAGAGATCAAGCGATTGCAAGGTTGGCTTATTAAATGCGGCATTCGCAAGATGTGGGCTCGTGAATTGGCTTCATACGACACAGGCAAGGCCAAAATCAAACACTTGAAAGAGATGCTAAAGGAGGCGGGTATGGAGGGGCGGTACTCTCTGGAAAAGGCGAAGAAGATACGGGAAGAGCGAGAACTCAAGGCGGACCTTGAGATGGTCCAGGAGGGTGCCAAACGATGGGGAACAGAAGGTGCGGACGAAGACGAAGAGGGCGAGGAGGATCGACCACGACGTAGACTGGCTCGAGGACGCAAAAGCCTCGCATTTTTGGACGATGAGGGTGAGGAGACGGATTAATCTGATATATCGGTGCCCCATGTCATTGTGATGAAGTCGACTACCCGCATCTGCTTGCCTGGCGCAGCTTCATGCCTTGTTTTATTAGAATTCGATACCACGAGAAAGCAATCATGTTTCGATTAATGAATAAAGGTCTGGGATGTAATGAATCCCATTGCTCTGGAAGTTCGTCATCTGCTCGACTTGACTCCGCTCATCCGCTGTGCCGTCAAGCTGAACACGGCGACCGAAGAGATGAAAAGGACAAGATTGTAGAACTAATTTCAGTGTCAGCCATCGCAACCACATGAATCCATGTCGTAAATGTAGCATACAGCAGTTCTTGAGTATTCGTTTTCCTCTGCCTCTGACCTGGCCTCAACAAAGAGGCGTCGTAGATTAGGAAGGTTTGCCTATGACGGTCAGAGCAGCCAAATCAACAATTCCACAGCGCCTTACCATGAAGATAGTAGCTAGCTAGTTCTTGCAAGAAGTTCTAGCGACGAGAGACAGATCGAGAAGAATAGAATCAAGAGTTGATGTTGACCGCAGGTGGGAGAGAATGGTTGCTTTAGCCCCGGACGGGCCCATCCACAGCCGCGTTTTGTGGACAACTTTTGGGCCCAGACACCCTGGACGCTTCACCTCTCCTCCGTCCTCCTCCAAACCCATTCACGATCAGGCAGATTGCCCTCTTTCTCACCGGCAATTTCACGTTTGACATCCCCGTACGACCCGGGGAATAATGATCTGACGCCATATCGAGCCCTCCCCTCTTCGATTTCCGAGTTGCGAAACGAGTCCCTGAAAGCTCTCGCCGCCAAATTCCCCGCAGTGGTCCGCAGAGACACTGCTGCATCCCAACTTCGATTCTAATAATTACTGCGGAGGCGCGACCGGGTCGTCGCTGAAGCCCGTCACTTATAGAGATGGCGATGAACAGGATACGAGGGGCCTTTGCGGTGCCCAGAAAAGGAGAAACGTTTGAATTGCGAGCTGGTCTTGTGTACGGAGTATCCCAACTTTTTTGTCGCCCAAGCGTATGATGATGCTGACTAGAGGGATAGATCCCAGTATGCCTACGAACGGTACGTTCAAAATTATCACCAGCTAATTCCAGATTATTTTATATGTACGACCGATCATGATTCTGACACTGTCGCAGAAAGGAGGCCATCCAGAAGACTATCATGGCCATGACCCTGGGCAAAGATGTTTCGGCCCTTTTCCCCGATGTTCTCAAGAACATTGCCACGACGGATCTGGAACAAAAGAAACTTGTATATCTTTATCTCATGTGAGTTGTTATGACCCTTCATATTGCTTCACCCGCTGATCTCGGTCGTTCTACCTTAGGAATTATGCCAAATCTCACCCGGACCTTTGCATTCTCGCCGTGAACACTTTCGTACAAGATTCCGAAGACCCCAACCCTCTTATCAGAGCATTGGCTATCCGGACAATGGGTTGTATCAGAGTGGAGAAGATGGTTGACTACATGGAGGAGCCTCTCCGCAAGACCCTCCGCGACGAGTCGCCCTATGTCCGCAAGACTGCAGCGATTTGTGTGGCGAAGCTTTTTGACTTGAACCCTCCTATGTGTCTTGAGAACGGCTTTCTTGAGATGTTGCAGGAAATGATTGGTGACCCTAACCCCATGGTCGTCGCAAACTCGGTCACCGCACTCTCTGAAATTTACCACGCTGCCCCTGAGACCCAAGCGCTTCAAGTATCGTCCAACACACTGCGGAAGCTGTTGATGGCACTGAACGAGTGTACGGAGTGGGGACGTGTCACAATTCTCACAACATTGTCGGAGTATAAGACCTCTGAAGTGACAGAGTCGGAGCACATTTGCGAACGAGTGGCTCCTCAATTCCAACATGCCAACCCAAGTGTGGTGTTGGCAGCCGTCAAGGTTGTGTTTTTGCACATGAGAAATGTTAACCCAGAATTGGGCAAGACTTATCTGAGAAAGATGGCTCCCCCTCTGGGTATGTTCAATGTCTGATTATATGATAAGTGATGACTTGTTGCTGACTGCTACGACCAGTGACCCTGGTATCTTCCGCTCCGGAAGTGCAATATGTCGCCTTGAGAAACATCGATCTGTTGCTACAGAAGCAATCTGATATTCTCAACAAGGAACTCCGCGTTTTCTTCTGCAAATATAATGACCCTCCTTATGTCAAATTCCAGAAACTCGAAATCATGGTTCGGATAGCCAACGATCGTAATGTTGATCAGCTTTTGGCGGAGCTGAAGGAATATGCCCTGGAAGTCGATATGGATTTCGTGCGACGCGCAGTCAAGGCCATTGGCCAAGTTGCTATCAAGATCGAAAGTGCCAGTGAAAAATGTGTCAACACGCTTTTGGATCTTATCAACACCAAGGTGAACTATGTGGTACAGGAGGCTATCGTGGTCATCAAGGACATTTTCCGAAAGTACCCTGGCTATGAGGGCATCATTCCCACGCTCTGTAAATGCATCGACGAATTGGATGAGCCTAACGCTAGAGCGGCCTTGATCTGGATTGTGGGAGAGTATGCGGAGAAGATCAGCAACGCAGGTGACATCTTGGGCGGCTTCGTGGATGGATTCAACGAAGAGTTTTCTCAGGTAAGTTCTTATGCGCTACGGATATTATGGTTGAAGCTTACGGTCTTTTCTCTAGACCCAATTGCAAATCTTGACCGCTGTTGTCAAACTCTTCTTGAAACGCCCCGAGAAAGCCCAAGGACTTGTGCAAAAGGTGCTTCAGGCGGCTACGGCAGAGAATGATAACCCTGATGTTCGCGACAGAGCCTATGTCTACTGGCGTCTTCTTTCCAACACAAGCGATCCGGATGCTACCAAGAACATTGTGCTTTCTGAAAAACCTCCTATTAAGACCACTATTCAGTCTCTCCCTCCCCCTCTCCTTGAACAACTCCTCACCGAACTTTCCACCCTCGCCTCGGTCTACCACAAGCCACCAGAGCAATTTGTTGGCCAAGGCCGATTTGGAGCCGACGCTGTTCAACGTGCTGCTATTGAGTTCGTCCCCCCTTTTACTCTGCTAATTCTTACTTTGAGCATAATTTCTAACATACTTTTTCAGGGAACAACTCCAGAACGCGCGCGAGAACCCACTGGCGGCGGCAGCAGCGGCGGCAGCCGTTACTGGCAAGACTCCCCCACCTCAAACTCAGAACAACGTCGAGAACTTGTTGGATATTGATTTCGATGGTGGAGCGCCAGCATCTGCACAAAAGGAGCCAAGCAGTGGTATGTCTGGTCTCGAAGGTCTTGCCGGTACGCCCGTTCGGGTCCAATCTCCTGCGGCTGGTGCCCCAGCACCAAGCAACAACCTTGATGACCTCCTTGGAGTATTCGGAGACAGCGGAAATGCTTCAAGCTCGACAAACCAAGGCGCTGGTGCCAGCGCAGGCGCAGACCTCATGAACGGATTTGATGGTCTCGATCTCTCTGGTAACAACAGCACCTCCCCACCGCCTGCTGGCAACCAAAAGAAGACGAATGAGGATATCCTGTCGCTTTTTTGAGAGGAGATCTAGTGGTTGCCTAGTGAATAAAGCATAATAGTTAAAGGGATCGAGACAGGAAAATCTCAAAATTTTCATGCCCAAGATAGATATATGTTTTCCCTTTACAGTTTGATTGATTTTATACTTTGTCTTCTTTTATACCAAAATCTTTTATCTTATCACCCTGGTCTACATATCCCTACCTGTATATCCCGATTTCCTGGAGCATTTGATTTTCACTTTGGTTTCTGCTCTTTTTCCTTTATCATTCCATCGATCTGGGTTCGATTTAGACTTGTCATTAAAGGAATATCTTTCACAAAATTCATAGGGTAGTGCATTATCAATTGACTATACGTTTGGAGTTTCCGAGAATATTTATCTGCCAATGTCGTCATACAGTAGTACTTTATAGTGTGAATGCCCTGTAGTTAGCGCTAATTACTACAGGGTAGACTGCGAGTGGGGTTGACTGGGTTTCGCCCAATTCGGAAGTGACGCTGAGCAGATCACAACGACACGAAGTCAACAGATATCAAAATTCCATCACCACACTTTATACGGGTGATATCCTCTTAATTCCCACCATCTACTGCGCTTCATGAACCATCGAGACTGAGCAATCTCGATTATCATGTCAACCTACCAACTAATGCGAAGTGCAAACATCTCAACAGAATCACAGCCTTGCCTGTTTCAGATGGGGCTGGCGCTGGGATAGGGCCATTCTAATGCAAGATGTGTTGTCCTATCACATGGGACCAGCTCTGAGCCAGTGCTGAGCTGAAATATCTTCTCATTATTCTTGTTCGTGTGAACCATCAGCACAACTCTTATCCACCAAGAATCAAACCGGAAATGTTCGGTAAACTGCGCGAAAAGCTTCGCCGTGTTCGCAAAGGAGGCAGAGGCGATGATACTACGAAAGGAAACTCTCGTTCTACCAATTTGTTCCAAGAGGGTAGGGGTGAGGCTGCGCCCGAACGTGGTCAATTCCGGCTCGAGGCCGCCGAAAACGCGAATGTTGACCGACCTATCGATGACACGAAGCATCTAAATGAAAGACTAGCTGAAGAAAGCTCGAAAGTTCGAAAGCTCGAAACACCGAACAAAAATACGAAGTCAAGTGCCTGGAAGAGCCTGAGCAAGATGGGGTCGACTCCGACGTGTCTCCAACTAGCAAGCAACATTCGAAGGGAACCTGTCTAGAAAAAGAAAGAAAATCCGATGACCCAGAGTTTGGAGCAAGGGCTTTGGATAGATTGAAGGATGGTCACGAACAAGACGAAGCCAAGACCCCTGAATGTCCTGTATCTGAGACGATACCTGCAGATGAGAAAGCAGTTGAGAGAAGCGATAAACCTGGTAATGCAGGCCTCTGGCAAAGAGCTTTTGATGAACTAAATCAGGATTTGAAGGGAAAGCTATGTGAAGAAAAAGCTATGCCTCTGGAAAATGCCATTCAAGATGTCATTGACAGAACGAAAGAGAACTTTGAAGCGTATCAAAATGGCGGACTGAAGTTCAAGAAGCATGACGGAAAAGAAATCAATGTTCGTGATGTGGCCAAAAAGATTCTCAATTCGGCTATTCACTGTTCAGAAATTGTCAAATGGATAGCAGCTTCGGACCCTAGTGGTCATGGTAAGTACCTAGCCTTGAACCTGTCTTAAAATGACAATTATTAATCAATGTCCAGCATCAAGTGCGTGGGCAATAATCTCGCTTGGATTGACAGTAAGAAGTGCCGTTTTGGTTTACCACTATGTGAAGCTCACCGTGACTTAGATGGCCAAAAATTTTGAGGATCAGAAAGAAGCTGCTTTCAAATCATCTCAATTTCTTGCTGATATCCTGGCTCGATACGTTATACTCGACAATTATTGTCGCACAGAGAAACTACCAAGCTCCGATGGACTCGATAATGCTATTTTGCAAGTATACAAAGCAATCCTAGAGTACACAGCAGAGGTGAAAAAGCGGCAGAGTACAAGCTTTTTGAGTATGTGCCATATTCAGTTCTCCTGGTGATCGCTCAAACTGATAAGCCGTAGATCGCATAGGGAACAGCATCTTTCCAGACTCCGATACAGAATTGGCACATCTCCGGTCTGCCGTGGAAGACCAGGACAATAAAGTCAGAAATTGGAGTCAGATTCACACTCTGCTATGTGAGCTATGCAGCCGAGGCAATTCCTTCCCATCACTAATGCTTCAAAAGATCACAGTACCAAGGGAGACGAAATACTCGCCAGTATTGAAAAGGTCTATCAAAACACAGAGACAATCAAGGACAAAGTCAATTGTATGACCCATTCTTATTTTTCTTGATAGCCTAGACTGATGATCTTAGCGGATGAAATGGATAAAATTCTTGGGTGGCTGTCTGACATTAAATATTCCCAGACTCAGGATGACAACCAAAGGATTCGAACAGACAACACTGGCGATTGGCTTTTATGTTCAGATGAATACAAACAGTGGAAGGCTACGCCTGGAAAGTTTCTCTGGTTATATGGACCTGGTAAGGTTTTTATATGAGTCCGATAATACAGTATTTCTAACCGATAAACGCAGCTGGTTGCGGGAAATCGATTCTTTGGTATGCAGGACCACTATAACAAAGATTAAAAACTGACAACGCCAGCTCTACCGTCATTCAAGATATTAAAAAACATTGCAACAATTCCCCATCGAGTAAATTATCCTACTGGTACTTTCAATTCAGTCGCGGTGAGACACAAAACGTGAAAAACATGACTCGGACTATTATTCGGCAACTGGTACCTGAAGAGCTTCCAATATCACTTGTAAATCTATGGAAAAAACAGAGCCATCAAAACAGTGATCCAGTCCAAGACGAGTTTTCAACAGTCCTCAATGATGTTATTGAATGTCATATGGGAGATCATTTATTTCTTATTTTTGACGCACTCGATGAATGTCCTGATAATGAGGTCCGTGAGAGAGATTTGTTGCTTCGGCTTCTGAAGGGTCTGATTGACAAGCACGGAAATAAGATCCATCTTCTGGCAACAAGTCGAGTTGAAGAAGATATTCGCTGCCATCTGGAGGAGAATTTGAATATAGATCCTGAGGACCGGATAAATCTGGAAGACCGAATGAATGATGATGTTGTGGCTTTTGTCTACAAGGCACTCAACCAGGGAAAGCTGAAAAGATGGGAAAAGAACGAGCAAGTCAAACATGAAATTCTGGCAAAATTATTGAACACACACGAACAAAGGTATTATTATGCCCTCTTTTGTTCTCAACAGAATCTTGCTAATATACTCTCTGCTAGACATTTTCGCTGGACTCATCTACAAATTGAATGGCTTGGAAAATGTAAAAAAAAGGCCAAGATCCTGGAATCACTCAAAGAGATGCCAAAAAGCCTGGGAGAAATGTACCACAAAATATTTCAAGAGATTCCTGAAGATGAACAGGAGGACGCGCGCTCAATACTCATATGGCTCAGTTTCTCTCTTACACCACTTGAGCTAGAAACGGTTGCAGCAGTAGTGGCCTATCCGGATCCTGAGGATGTTGTCAAAACTTGCACTACCTCTTTGGTGACTGTTAGTCCATCCGATGGCACCATCAAACTCGCCCATTTTTCAGTGAAAGAATTCTTGGCTGTCTCGAATCCTACCCATTGGTATCAGTTTACTGCAATTGGTGGCCATGCGGAAATAGTTAATCGTGCCCTTGACGATCTGCTTGACAAAACCGAGGATATTACTGCTAAAGAATGTGCTGATGATCTGCCGCTCATCAAATATGCCTCGACATATTGGAATGATCATTTTTCAGAGCTTCCTGACTCTGATATTCAATTTCCAGCCCTAGAAGAAAAGATATGTCGTCTGTTTGAAGAGGACATAGTCTACTTAAACTGGCGGTCTGTGGCTCGAGATGACTTTAAGCTGATTGCAGGGGATATACCCAAAGAACATTCAATGTACAATAGTACTGTTGAACCACCCATCTGCTTGGCCTGTGAAATGGGGGTGCAGAGTGTTGTTGAGAGACTACTTCTACAAGGGGCTGACCCTTTCACAACCTATGAGAAAGGCTATTACACTTATACCACATTCAAAGTGGCTATCTGGAATGGTCATCTTACTATTGTAAAGCAGCGGCTGAAGAACGTTGAGATATCAGAGAAAATAGCTGAGGATATTGTGACTACCATTGATCTTCGTAAGGCTTCGCTTAAAGAAGTTGAAGACCTTCTGAACATACTTTTGAGCACTGATATCTTATATGACAAGGATGAAAATGGACGTCTTGTTTTGTGTGAAAATTTTGTTATAGTCACAGCAGAGAATCGCTCAGGAAATCAGCTTATGAGCCTTCTTTTGGATAGGCAAGAACAGCTAGAGGTTCCTGTGACCGAGGAAGTTCTTGATGCAGTGGCAAGGAATACTAACTGCGGTGAAGAAACGATGCGAATGCTTTGTGATAGGAGAGGGAAAGACATTCAAATCACCGAGAGACTAATGTGGACAGTAGCCGAAAACTCTGGCAGAAATCCTGGTATACCAACTTTGGTCTTTGAAAAATTTGGCGCTACCGTTCCTCTGAGTCACTGGACCATCAGTGATTTTGTGTACAACGCAACACCAGAAGTAATGGAGTTTCTTTTACAGATCCGTGGCGATAAAATTCAAGTTACAGAACGGTTGTTGCTCCATGTGGCTAGATATCAGAGACATTCTGGAGTGTTTCAATTGCTCTGGAAAAGAGCGCCAGGCATTGAAATCACCGGGGAGCTTCTGTGGAGAATTGCACGAGAGCGTAAAGGCCTCGAATATCTGGAATTCTTACTCAGAGAATGCCCTAAAGGCTGCTTCATCGATGATAGAATAGTCCAAAGAGTGGCAAAGTCTTCTTCTGGTCTGCCTCTGATGCAAATTCTTTTGGACAAACGAGAGGCAGGATTGATTGCTTTTCATATTTCCAAGAGAACATTGAGAGCAGCTGCTCTTAATTCACGACAGATGATGGACCTGGTCATTAACAACGCAGGCCCGGATGTTTCAATCAATGAGATCCTATGCCTGCTAGCTGGTTACCACTGTGAAATAGAGCCTGTCTTGAAACATTTTCTTGAGCTTGATGAAAATCTGCCAATCAGCGAGGAAATCTTATGCTCAGCAGCTGCCAATCTATTGAATGGGGAATCTACTATCTTGAAATACTTGCTTGAGCTTGATAAAAGCCCGCCAATCAGCGAGAAGGTTTTATGCTCAGCAACTGGCAATCTATTTAACCTGGAATCTATCCTAAAATTTTTAATTGAGAATGGGGCAGACCTGCCAATCACAGAGAAGTTATTATGCTCAGCAGCTGCCAACATAGATCAAGGGAAATCTGCCCTAAGTTTTTGATTGAGAATGGTGGAGACCTGCAGATCACAGAAGAGGTAATGGTATCAGCAGTACGAAATTACCGTCAAGGCGAAAAAGTACTCGAATTGCTTTTCAACAAATTCCCAGATGCTCCAGTGACAGATCGTGTCTTCGAGGCTTCTTGTTGGTACTCCAGGAAGTTGTCACTCTTGTTCAAACGAGGTCGTGATCACATGCAAGATAGCCAAGTGATAGCGAGGCTTCTTGAGAAGGATATTTTGAGCCTATGGGAAGTGAATGGTCTGCTTGATAAAGGGCTACTTGACATTGATGATAATGTGGAGGCAGTGGGGGCCCAGAAAGCTTTGATTACAGCATTGAAAGATCGGCATCAGATGGAAAAGCTGCTGGGTTTACGAAGAAGCGATATCCCAGTTACCGAAGACGTTATACTGCAGGCTCTGAGGAACATCTCAGTGGATCCTGAGGCCTTCCAAATGCTGACCGATCGACTGGGATCAGCAGTACCCACCACAGACAAAATGTTGGAAATGTCTCTTCTGAATCAACAATCTCGATTCGTGGATTCGTTGCTCAAAGAGAGGCAAGATTGGAGTCTGCAACAGGTTTGGGATGCGATTTGGCAAAATAATCAATACCACTTGAGAAATATTGTGAAAGTTGCGAAATTTCTTCTGAAATATGGAGAATTTGATGTTTCACAGACCCTGCTGGAGTTCCTTCCACTCAGGGACTTCAGTGATGATGACTCTTATTTCCGCCTTGATGAGTTGTTTGATCTATGCGCTGAGCAAGACATATCAGCCCCTGCTATCGAAATGCTCACGGAGATAGTATTTCGACGTGTTCACGCGGTCCCTATCCAGAGATGCATTCATCGACTGGGTTCCGCGATACCAGTTACCGAGAAAGTCTTTGATTTGATTTGGCAAAATGAAAAATTCTCTTTCAAGCAAAAAGTGATACTTTCAAATATTCTTCTACAATATGGAGAATTTGATGTTTCACAGAAGCTGCTGAACCTCCTTCCAGATGTCGATACACAAGAGGGCTTCGACAACGAGGATCTTAATGAGTTGGTCAATTTATGTGTGAAACGAGACATATCAGCTCCTGCTACCAAATTGGTCGCAGAGATACTATTTGAGCTTGGCCTGGAACATACCATCGAGATTCATCAGACACAATCCCACGATCCCACTCACGGATGACCTGGTTCGACTTACAGAAAAGAATAATCGGGCAGAGAAGAAAGTTCTGATGCGTGTCCTCAACAAGAAAAGAGCTGCGGACCAGAAGATCGAGGTTGCTGGAACAAAGACAGAAGCAGAAGAAGCCTAGCTCGCGCCATTTTGAACTGTTGATCATTCAAAGTCTGTATCTAGTTGAATAAATTTCAACTCAAGAATGGCCATTTGAATGAGACTTGTATATATCATATGAAAAGGGCGAACATGGCAGCGTAGCCCTAACTTACGTGGGAAGACTATGAATAGTTACTCTTCTAGTTCCTGCGGAGTCTTTTTATCCAAGTCCATTGCAATCGAGCTCGAGTATAATTAGGATTGGTCCTAGTTCATTATATATCTAATGTGGGATAAGTAGTAGTGCATGTTTGGGCGCGTTCATCAGCTACCATGAAGATGGAAAATTAGAAAGTAGAACGGCCATGACTGTGAGTGAATGGTTAAGAGTTGTACTATTAAATATGATAGATTACTGGCCCGTTGAGGGACATCAGTGCAGTATGGTGTAGGTATTTCTGTATAACTTTCCCAAATAGGATGCATAATTTGCTGATTCATCTGTATAAAAACAACATATCACAAGAGAAGACAGAGCAGAGCACGGAGTATGGCCGGAGAAAATATTGGAGATGTCAACTCCAATCAGCAATCATCCATTTGGTTGCAGAATTTTCCCTCGAAGATAGTCGAAAAAAAAGAAAAGAAAAAAACCTCAAGTTAGTCTCCGAAAAACGGCACGGCGGGGTGTTCTGCCGGCTGAACGATGTTGATAATGTCCTTCATTTAGATACCAAAACAACCATTGCTTGGCTGAATAGCTTGTAGTCATGCAGATCATCTATTTTGAGATACTGCTCTCCAATGCCCCTGTTTGCACTCTGGTGATTCTTTCAGATAGATAGTTACCCCAATTCCACAATGGAGGCAATCGGGGTCTCAGCCAAAATTTCCAGACGATGGCGTGCCGTTCCCGATTCCACCGCTGGTCCATTTCCGCTATAGCCGGCGCTTATCAAACGATTACTATACGGACGATAGCGCACTTTGTCGAGGCATTTTTTATTGACTCATGTTCTTTATCGAGGGTGGATACCAGTGGCTTTCAGACCCGCTGTGAAAGAGGATCCATGGACTCCAAATTCCTCGTGGCCTATTATAAATGGAGGGGACATCTCCTCTTCTTCCGTCAGGGTTGATTTCTACCGGAAATCATTAGGATTTGCACATTATATCGATTGCTCTACCAACTGCAATGACGCAAACAGACTACAAGTTCGAAGGATGGATGGGCCTCAGCCCCGAATCCGCCAATGGCCAGATGGTTTGGCAGGAGTTTGAGCCAAAGCCATGGGAGGAAACAGACGTGGATATCAAAATCTCTCACTGCGGTATTTGCGGTTCGGACTTGCACACTCTCCGAAGCGGCTGGGTAAGCCTTTTTCATTTTTAACGAGAAGCTACGATTGTGAATTAACATCTTTATAGAGGCCTGCCCTGTACCCCTGCTGTGTTGGACATGAGATTGTCGGCACTGCCGTGCGTGTGGGATCCAAGGCTGTCGGAGGAATCAAAGTAGGAGACCGTGTCGGTGTTGGTGCTCAGAGTGATTCCTGTCTCGGACGCTTGGGCGATTGCCCTGAATGCGCCATGGGTTGGGAGCAGTACTGCAGCCACAAGATCGTTGGCACTTACAACAGCGTCTTCCTGAATGGCGGCAAGTCCTATGGTGGATACGGCCTGTACAATCGTACGCCTTCTAACTTTGTGATCAAAATCCCTGACGCCATTCCCTCCGCCCACGCAGCGCCGATGTTGTGCGGTGGTGCCACGCTCTACAGCCCTCTCAAGCACAATGGCTGCGGCCCCGGAAAACGCGTGGGAATCATCGGTGTTGGTGGACTCGGACATTTTGGTGTCCTTTTTGCCAAAGCCATGGGCGCGGACAAGGTCGTCGCCATCTCGCGCAAATCCAGCAAGAGTGAAGACTCATTGAAGATGGGCGCCGATCTCTACATTGCAACTGATGATGAGCCGGATTGGGCGACGAAGCATGCCCGCTCCCTCGACCTCATTGTTAGTACCGTTTCTTCGACAAAGGTGAGTTTCTTTTGAACTAGACGGAAACTGAACCAATGCTAACTAATTTTAGATGCCAATGCTCGAGTATATTGGACTCCTCGCCACTGGTGGCAGCTTGGTTCAGGTTGGACTGCCTGAGGACGGCACGCTCACTGCACCCATTAAAAACCTCACTCGCCGGTTGAAGATCCAAAGTTCCTTTGTTGGAAGCCCCAATGAGATCCGGGAGATGTTCGATCTAGTTGCAGAGAAGGGAATCAAGCCCTGGGTTGAAGAGATCCCTATGAAAGATGCCAACAAGGGCATTGTCGACATGCACGAAGGCAAGGCACGCTACCGTTATGTGCTGGTCAATGAAGAGCAGTAGGGGATGGTGGCCACACCGCCAGCAACTCTATGATGACGCGAATAGACTGTATATAGTTAGTAGATAGACGATCAATTTGACGAAGGTGATGATGACGATGATAATGCTGTTGATGTTGATGTTCAAGCAAAGATGAAGCGATTGCCAACCACAAGCGCACGTGATTCAATTCGCCGCTGTCGGAGACGCTAAGCCCGATCGGGCCTACGGAGGGGCATCCCCGCGGCGATTCATTTTAGGGATGATTCACATTTCATCTTTTGCCTCAGTCTGTTTCTTCGCTGCTGATCGAGTCTGGAGTCCCGTTGCGGTTGATTCTCTTTCGCCTCGTCTTGCATATCTGAATAGCGTCGTGTTTACCGGATTCTTTCTCACTACTGATAACCATGTCTCATACTATCTCCCAGAAGTATCTCAGCACGCGGGGAGCGTCCTATGGAGTAGGTGATCCAGAAAAAGGCCTATTTGCATGATAACATCGCTAACCTGTCTCTTACTGATTAGCTCTCTTTTGAAGATGCTGTCCTGAAAGGATTGGCCTCCGATGGTGGTCTTTTCATCCCCGAGGAAATCCCTTCTCTCCCCCCTTCCTGGGAGTCGGAGTGGCGCGACTTGTCCTTCGAAGATCTCGCATTCCGGATCATGTCCCTGTACATCTCCCCGACAGAAATCCCCTCGGAAGACCTGAAGGATATCATCAACCGATCATATGCCACTTTCCGCCACCCTGAACGTACCCCGCTGGTGGAATTGGATGGCAAGAAAAACCTTCACTTGCTGGAGTTGTTCCACGGACCGACATTTGCTTTCAAGGATGTCGCGCTTCAGTTCCTCGGAAATCTGTTCCAATACTTCTTGGTCCGTAAGAACCAGGGCAAGGAGGGCAAGGATAGACACCACCTCACAGTCGTTGGTGCTACTAGCGGAGATACCGGCTCTGCGGCCATCTACGGACTCCGGGGAAAGAAGGATGTCTCCATCTTCATCCTGTTCCCTGATGGACGTGTTTCTCCTATTCAGCAGGCTCAGATGACCACGGTCCTTGATGCCAACGTCCACAACTTCACTGTTCAGGGCTCATTCGATGACTGCCAAGATACCGTCAAGGCTCTGTTCGCTGACCCTGAACTCAACTCTACCCACAACCTTGCCGCTGTCAACTCCATTAACTGGGCCCGTATCCTGGCTCAAATGACCTACTACTTCTACTCTTACTTTGCCTTGACTAAGACACCCGGTTTCTCCAAGGACTCGAAGATGCGCTTTGTCGTTCCATCGGGTAACTTTGGTGATATCGCCGCCGGATGGTTCGCCAAGAGCATGGGTCTTCCCGCTGAAAGACTGGTGATTGCCACCAACGAAAACGATATCCTCGACCGTTTCTTCCGCAGCGGTGGTCAATACACCAAGAACGACTCTAAGGGAGAAGGTGTCAAGGAGACTCACAGTCCCGCCATGGACATCCTTGTCAGCAGCAACTTCGAGCGTCTCCTTTGGTACTTGGCCTTCCAGACCGACGCTTCGAGCTCCGCCGACGAAAGACGTAAGCACGCTTGCGAGAGCGTCAGCGGCTGGTTGAACCAGCTCAAGTCCGAAGGTGGCTTCACTGTGCCCAACGCCGTCCTGGAAGGAGCCAAGGCCGACTTCGAGAGTGAGCGTGTGAGCAACGACGAAACTATCGACCAGATCCGATCCACCTACAACACCTCATTCCCTACCAACCTGGGCCCCGGAAGCGCCAAGAGCTCCAAGACCGGTGGCTACATCCTCGACCCTCACTCCGCTGTCGGTGTGGCTGCTTCTCTCCGCTCCATTGAGCGAAACCCCGGCACAAGCCACATTTCCCTCTCCACAGCCCACCCGGCCAAGTTCGCCAGTGCAGTCGACCTCGCACTGCGTACCCAGGATGGATATGACTTCAACGAGGTTCTTCCCCAAGAATTCATCGGCCTGGAACAGCGCGAGAGCAGAGTCACTCCCGTGCCTGCTGGTTCTGGCTGGCAGGGAGTCCGTGAGTTGGTGAAGAGTGAAGTTGAGCAGGAGTTGCAGGGCTTGCGATGATCCATTGGATCCCTTATTTAATGAATAGAGTTGTCATTCTGTTGCATTTTGGGGCTTTATATACTATCTTCTTTTCCAGCTTTTAGACCCCCAAAAGTTAGTTTGAAATTTGAGACGCATTTCTAAATCATTTAACTCGTTACTTTATCTTTTTGTCCTTAGGCAAAGTAACCTAGGCTTTTATTCATCTCATTATTTATTTATCTACTTTTACTAAATAGATTAAATTTAAGTTGGGTGTATCGCCACTCGGGCATTCCAAGGTTTACAGGGCTTGCCGTCCAGCACGAATGGATACAGACTCATGGTGCGCTGAATGGCGAGAAGATCGGCCTGAGGGGGTACATCTCCCTCGATCTTTGCGGGAA